AACACATTATTTACAAAATATTTACTGATATTGAGAGAATGGCGGAAAAAAAAAAAAACTCAGTCCATATTTTTTTCACATACATAAGCCTTTTTTTCTCAAAAATCCTACTCAAATTGAATAAATATAATCAAATTGAATACATGTGATGATAAACAACACTATAACAAATCAAAAGCCTATAAAGTTAATACATGATTTGTAAAATATTGACTGAATTTTATCGCATGGCGGAAAAAAAAAAAAACACAGTTCTTACTTGTTCTTCGTGCACCCGTGCCTTCAAATTCAAAATTGATAGGTATTCCTCTAAAATAATCACAAATTATGAATAAAAACTTCTGAACAATACTTTTATGATCAATCATCCTGAAATTTTACAAAAAATGATGCCTTCTTTCGCTTGAAATCAGTGAAATGGTGGAAACCCTAAAACTCACTCTTCGATCCAAATTTTTTGATAAAAAACGGTGCTTTTTAATTCCTTTTATTGACTAAAATGGATGAAAATTTGAATTAAAGCCTGTAAGATTCGTTTAAAAGGCTGAAAAAGGTGAAAAACAATAACAAAATGATAAAAAAAAATGAAATCCCATAAACAACACTGTGCAGCCCGTGTTCTTGGGTGTGACTCGGTTTGACTCACAATTCACTATTGTGAATCGCCCGGCTCTTTCTAGACACGGGTAATTTTCGGTTTATTCGTAGAATCGGCTCGGTAGCAGATGATTCTCGAATTGAACCGGGCGAGTCCCGCTTGATCCGGCGAGTTTTCAAACCCTTTTACCTGATAGAGTAAATGGGCAGTGCACCGCCGAAGGAGTATGATACCTTTTGTCTATTTTCTTCAGGAGAAGTGGGCAATCTTCGTTATTTCTCGTGCGAACATAAGCATTCGCCAAAAGCTAGAGAAACCGCCCAAATAAAGAAAAAGAAACAGAGACCATCTTTAATGGTATCCTTGAGAGAAAGAAACTCGGTTTCCATTTGGGAGCAATACATACATGGGCGCCAGTGAGAGAGGATGACCCAAGAGAAAGATCACCTCGTTTTGCTTTGTGGCTAATTTGGGCGGCAAAGTGGATTGAGAGAGAGAGAGAGCTTCCATGGACGACGAGCAACTGCTGCGCGTGGTTCAGGAAGACTACTTTAATCAGCACCACTCCTCTCTCCTCCAATCCCTTCCTCTCCATGTTGTAAGAATAAAACCTTCCCTTTTTCCTTTCTCTCTCATCATTTTTCTTTCTCTAGGGTTCATGATTCGCCAAATTGCTTGCACTTCAATTGCGTCATCGGATTACTGATCCATCTGAGTTAATTTATTACTGTGTTATTTCTAAAAAAAAAAAACTTATTACCGTGTTGTCTATTCTTGTGTACTATGTCTTTATTGTTGTTTTTCTGGTTTTATTTTCTCCCTGCATCAGAATGCACACATGGTTTTGGTCGATGCATGTGCAATACATTGTTTTGGAATCGTTGATTGGTTGTTGCTGTATGCGAATGTATAATGTTCGAGTTTGCGTTGCTCCCTTTATTCGGATCTTTCCTTTTAATTTTTTCTGGTTAGAATGTGCAACTCTAGGGGTACCATTTTTCTTGTGAGAGTGTGACTCTAGGTTACCATGTCTTTCTCATTGCAACATTTGGTGCTTTTTTCTATTTTGCATCATTTGGAAGAATTAGGTGGAGATTCTATGTTAGTGTTTTGTTAGTCTTGTGATTTTTTCTATTTATCCCATCAAAGCTTGTACCAACTGTATTTGGGCAAACTGAGTTTGAGGATGGGTGAATTTCAAGGAAGAACAGCATTGCAAAATTTTGCAGGTGCATTATACAAAAAAAATGATTCATTTCATTGATGTTTTTGTGTGCAATCAAGTAGGCATGTAATATGAGTCTATTTTTATTTTATTTATTTATTTATTTCAGTGTGATTACATGAGGATGTTCTTCAATGGGATTTTTCACTCTAAATATGTGTTTTGGATTCATAAATTTCGCTTTGTGTTCTAATTTTGCTGTCACTTTTTATGATAATTGGCATTCCTTAAATGTTGCAAGGTATCTGCTCCTTTATAAGGGTCTCTACGGGTGTGACATTGCATGAGCACCTCCATGTTACTCATGAATAATCTCCTCCATGACTTGATCAATCCTCTTAAAATTTCAGAAAATGGAATCTTTTTTCTTTTCATATATTCATAAACATGGAATCTTGCCATTCAAATTTTGGATTGTAACACTTGGCAACAAATAACTATTTCATTTCATAGTTTTGCACCGAGTAATGCATGCTCCAACCTTGGTACTACATGGGGCTCTTCCGGGATAAGCAACTAATTAGCCAACTTACACTACTACCTCCTCCTCACCATCCTCTCTTCATTTACAATCTTCACTCCCTTTTCTTGAGCATTTGTGTTTGCGGTCCTTGCTAACCATTTTGCATCTGCCGCTCTAAACATCCTCTTCCCAACATAGTTGATGTAAACTGGCTATCCTCTTTGCCGCCTTTTTGAAACCTTTTTAACCTTTCAGAACAATAACTATTATTAGATTGCAAAGCAGTTGTTGACCTTCTACCAACTGTATCCATTTCCACTGCTCTTCCACATGCCTTTTTGATGGCATTAAAAGTTTTAGTTGTGTACTATTGGAAAACATAACACCTGAATTCACAGTCTTTTGCAAAGGACAATGAGCTCTTCCAGGCATCTTGCCTTATGATGATTAGTCAAGATGAACCTATTCTTTTGACCTGGATTCTTAGGATGCAGGGTGGAAAAGATGATAGACTGCATGTAGAAACTTTGCCCTTATCAGATTGCTAGGTCATAATGATGGCAATGCTTGACTTGTTTGTGTTTAATCCTGTTTATATCCTCTCTTTGGCTTGGGTTCTGACTTTTCTTATATGTTTTCTTCTAATAATGAATCCTCATCACATTTATGGTGACAACTTGCATACCATCTTTTGACATTTAATTCTGATTACTGTTTGTTGTGGTCTCAGTCATTTGACTATGGATGTCATCTACTAGTAAAAGCCATCCAAGAGCTCCGAGGAAAGAAAGAGAGTCTTGTGACAGTTGGCATTGGTGGTCCCAGTGGTTCTGGTAAAACAAGGTATCTAATATATCATCTTGCATGTATCAAAACAAAAAGTAAACACAGGAAGTAAACATCACGCATACATGGCCTAGTGTGGAGTTTAGCTTTCTTTGCTCAAATTGGTTATGTTGTGACTTATGACCTTGTGTATTTGATGGTTTGTGAAGCCTGGCAGAGAAGGTAGCATCTGTATTTGGTTGTGTGGTCATGCCGATGGATAACTATCGCGATGGTGTTGACGATAAGAATGACTTCGAGTCCATTGATTTTGACACTTTGATCCAAAATCTTGAGGTTGTGCATGCTTTCTGATATGTGAAAATGCAACTATCTTACATACTTTAGTTCTCTATTTTGATTTGTGGGCTTCTCAACTAACCTATACTAAAATATAAACAGGATTTGATGAAGGGCAGTGATATATTAATGCCTGTGTTTGATTTTCAAGAGAAAAAGCGCATTGGTTTAAAGAAAATTAAAAGTTCCTTACCTGGGGTGGTAAGAATTTGGTTTGGTATTCATTTGCTCAAAGGACAATAATCTTGTAGGCTTGAAGGTAATATGTGTTTTTTTATTTATTTTTTTTGTTAATTAATCAGGTCATAGTTGATGGTACATATGCTCTGCATGCTAAATTGCGGTCCTTGTTGGATATACGAGTGGCAGTGGTATAACTTTAAGCGCCTTCATTATTATGTTCTTCGCTTTTTGACATTCCTATGAATTCTTCATTACTTTTTAAAGGGAAATTGGATAATTTAGGTTGGAGGTGTTCATTTTTCTCTCCTCTCGAAAGTTCGGTATGATATTGGAGATTCTTGTTCATTGGATGATGTCATTGACAGTATCTTTCCATTGTTTCGAAAGCATATTGAGCCAGACCTTCATCATGCACAGGTGTGTGTTTCTTTTACTTTTAGTATTTGTTGTCCTCTGTGTTTCTTTTCAAATTCCTATGTTCTTTCCTATTTCTATCCTAAATATTTTCCATAGATTTCATTCACATGGTTGTAATCTGTGCATAATGTCGCAGATCAGAATAAACAACAGCTTTGTCTCTTCTTTTAGGGAACCATACTATAAGCTGAAATGCCGATGTGAGGTATGTTTTTCATGGATAACACTATGGTCGAACAATATGTTTTTCATGGATAACACTATGGTCGAACAATATGTGCATTTTCTAGTGGAAAGCGTCTATACTTTTGCAAAGTTGTATTCCACCAAATTGTGACAATCAAGTACATATTTTGTAGATTACACTTGCTCAATACTACTTTGACGCATTGAGTTTATTGAATTGCCTTGTTCATGCACGACTATGCTTTGTATATCTGTGGGTGCGAGTGCACTCTTGTCTGCATGTGCGCAGGTGTGTATTTTGTCCACTATCCATGATCTGTCATGCCACTCAATAAATGCCTTTTACATTCTATTTAATCTAAATAACAATGGCTAATTAAAGGTTTAACATAGTTAAACAATGTTGTATCTGATAGTCTTCTACCCAATGCTAATTCTAATGAACTTATCGAAAACTGAACGTTTCCAAAATTTATATTTTATTTCCACTTGAATGGGGACTAAGAATTCATTGAACTTATCAACTGCTAAAATCCTTCTCGAAAGATATTTTTGATATAAATGTCAAACATGGAATTCTATTATTCCTAGTTAGCAAAATTACCTATGTAAACGTTTTTTTTTCTTCGAACATACTTTGTTGGCAAGAGCTTCTCATTGTAATATGTTTTGTCTTTGTATTGGGGCATGGTTGTGATACAGTAGCAAAATTACGTACTTAAGATCAAGCCGGGTCCGACTCCTTTTTTTACTCAGGACCACAGGCACATAGCATAAACACTTTGTATTTGGGCACCTTCCAACCCTGCTTTATTTTTTGAAAGCTATGTAATCGGGCGGTTTCTATAAGCCCCTTTTTGTACATGACAGGCTAATGCGTTTTTTACGGAGTCACCCCAAGTGGGCGACATTAGACTCTCATATCAATGTAAACATCTCTCCTCAGTAATACAATGTTAACCTTCTCTCAAAAAAAAAAAAAAATTATACTAAAGTATTTTTTTCAAACCCTAATAAAACGAAAATTCTCTCTCTTATACACTCAAAAAATCTGTATTTTTATTTTTTTTATTGTTAACTGAAAATTTCATTCCTCAGGAAGAATTAATGTACAACGAGAGTGATGTAAAGGAATATATGATATAGGTAACTAATCTCTATAAAGTATAAACTCAAAAAATCTCTGCATATTTTGACCCTCCATGCTAAAATCCTACAAAAAGAAAACTATGAAAATGAAAGGAAAATTTCTACTTTAAATCTCCAGCTAAACAACTTACCAAAATTGTCTCCCTTTCCATCATTCCCTCTTATCTCTCTCTCTCTCTCTCTCTCTCCTCCCTAACCCAAAACTCGCCATCTCTCCCTACCCCCCAAAACCTCCATCTCTCTC